CTTCCATACTGATTATACCAACTTCAATATTAGAATTTCCGTGATTATGTATAGCAGTACTTTCAGCTACATATCTGGTTGGACATCTTTGTTCTTTACGATGAAATTACTGTTTACAACTCCATTCTCCTGTACCTCGTCATTCAACGTCTTTTCTCTCATTTTATATTTGCTCCATTTCCGTCTGGTCTAGGAGCGCCATATAATAATGTTTTATCTTCTTATAATGCTGATTAGATTGCTTCCATCAAGAGCTCCATATAGTGGAACTCTAGGGGTAATTTACCCCCCGCATGTGGATGAATAACTTGAAATCACTCATAATTACTTTATTGGTTCTCGAAGTACAACAATAGAGAGAGTACCCAGTTGACGAATGACAACACTAGCTTCGACTGTTCACTCTTAATTCTTAATTATTAATTAATCTACTCCCGTTATTTTTCGGGTATTTAACTCTTTAACTAAATTATGTTTTTTAACATAATTTGTACACATTATTTAATAAGCTTTTAAGTACATTTCAAATTTCCCTAGGTCAGAGCCTGTTCTAGTTACACCGATATTTTCAATGTCATAAACAAACAATCGCATTTGGCAATAAGCAATGAATAATATAATTAAAAGAATTTTAAATTTTAAGCTGAATTGGGTTACTTAGATCTGATTTCTGGATGGTTAATTAAATCCCGTTACTCTCTTACTAACACGTCAACTAATCACCACCCAGCCAACAACTAGCACTATCTAACGTTTGTCTGTCTATTTCACACTTAATCTTAGAATCTTAATTGCATTCACGTAATGTCAATCTTTTGTTGCCCTTATCCTTTCTGCGGATAGGAACATCATGTCCTAAATTTCAGCATATATTAAGCTTTAGGCGGCAAACCTATATATCCCCTTTAACCAACCAAACCTGACCCTATTCTTTCGTTATTACTCATGAGGAGACCATATAGAATATACTTATTTTTAGAAAATCACACTTTTCAAATATGTAAAAATACCAAGCATTTAGCAGAAGACTGTCCAGCAAAGGTATCTGATCAGGCGACAAAACTTTAATACTTCAAAATACGGAAGCAGAAACATGTTTAATTAACTCAATAGGTATACCTCCGGGTGCTGGAGGTCCTTAAATAAACATTATCATAAATATTAATACCATAAAATGCTATTGCAAATTCGATATGTATATCAAAGTATATCAGACTATGAAAAAAACCGCATATAATATTATAAAATTCCTTTTTCATCTTTTCAGATATTTTGATCGTTTTGAGATGTGCTCCTCAGTGCAACATGTGCGAAATTGTTATCCCAAAGGTGACGGTATTTCAAGCCAAGACCATATGTTAGCCAATCCTATACTTCGTACTTGGTAAGTATAAGAAATCTCAATTATATTATGTCTTTTATTGTTACTTGATGCTCTACTTATACATACTGCAAAAGCGATAAACGCTTGTAATCAAATTTTTATTTGATTCATATTTTTTAAATATTTTTTTCTGTCAAAAACTTTTTAAAACAGAAAAAGGTTTGGGATAGTTTTCGCCATTATTTGTAGGAGCCAGATAAGTTGTTTATTCCATTGTCTAATCACCAAGACAACTAACCTTAATTATTACCGTAAGATAAAAATAATTTTTATTCTGTAATTTGTACTAATTTTGTTTATTGTAGCACCCTGATCATGCAAATAAAGATTTCCGAAAGCTTGGTTGGTATTTAGAAAAACCATTATTTTTACGACGTTTCAGCAAGGTCACACTTTTCATTGTCAAGTCAGGTAATAACGCTTCTTGCTGATGCTTGAAGTAGACTGACTCTTATGGTCGATGCGGTTAAGGCAGGTTGACATGATCCAAGGATACTTAGTTAGAGTCTACTTGGACGTTGCGCGCGCAAAACTTGGAAGCACTTTGATCGTGTCACCTGTTCATCAAAGTACACTTTGGCCAACTTCCTTTGATCCAAGTAGTGTGTTATTGTATAAAATTGTAATGGCGTCGGTGTCGAAAAATTGAAAACGTAAACACAAAAAGAAATGATCTGAAAGAGTGTTAGATTCATGGAGTTACACGAAGCTGATGAAGCATTATGGAATGTAAGGATAAAGGAATATAAAAATAAAGATGCTAGAAGTACGGCATTTTTTCTTTTATATTCCGTTTTTCTGGATTTTAAGCTCATGTAGGTATCAACACATCAGCAAACACTAGAACACCGTCCACAATCACTTTCGTCACCTTCACAATGGTTATTTGACATACAAGTCATTTAACCGTGCCAACCAACTTGGTGCAAGTGCTCTTGTATAAGTCCACTTGGTCCAAGTTGGAATCCAAGCATTCACAGATCGTGCCAACCCGCCTTTACTTATATAGCTGATCGAGGCGCGCTTCTCTCGAACGATCCTTGGCACGGTTTCTTGTGATTGGTACTGTCCGTGTTTGGTTTTTTTCTTTTCTCAATCTTCTTTTCTTCTCTTTTTTTGTCTGGTAATTGTCTTCAGTTCGTAGGGTAAGCATTTATCTGAGGCTTTGTTTTTGTCTTTTGTTGCATTTTTGTATTCATTCAAGTCTCTGTTTCGACATTATCTATTCAATACTTTCCTTTATTTTGGTCCAGTTGAACTCTGTATCTTTGTGGCCTCCTTCATTTATATTTTGATTTCTTACCCTGTTAATGAAGTTTGTCCCAGTACCATTCTGCAATTATTGCTTTTCTCAGCTTTCACACATTACATTTTTTTTTATCCATTTTGTTTTCTTTGCTGATTTTGAAATTCTAGCTTTTGTTTTCTTTACTGATTTTGAAATTCTAGCCCTTAGTTTTGAGATAACTAGACAATGATCCCAGGATTTAACATCACAGACAACTGGGATCACTCATACGAGATTAAATGTAGGATCAAAAGAGCAAGGAGTGCCTTCCAACAGATGAAGAAAGTTCTCTGCAATTTAACCTTGAACTTACATCTCCGTATGAAGCAGAGGCATGGATACTCACTGATGCGTCTTGCAGACGATTGCAGTCTTTCGAGATGTGGTGCTATCGTAGCATGCTCAAAATATGATATGTGCATCATATAACTAAGAGTAATGCAACGTTTACAAAAAGAACTTGAAGTCTAGAAATCCATTAAAGAGAGAAAGTTAGCATATTTCGGACATATAGTGAGAAATGAAAATAAATACAGAATTTTACTATTGATATAAGAAGGGAAAATAGAAGAAAATAGAGGATCAGGATTAACGATTAACGATTAACTTAATGATTAATTAAAATCAACGATTAACTTCCAACAATTATCTATTGTTGGAAGTTAATCGTTGATTTTCTTAGTTCTTTGCATCAACTACGTTATAATTTAATATATATTTTTTATACTTCTGACCACATGGTCACTCACTGTGCTAATTTTTTAATAAGTCACTAAATGTTGTTAGTAAATTAAATGTTTATACATTTCTACTTTATATTGTCCATTTATTCAAGTTTAATTCATAAGCTTGTTAACATCTTTGACTGCTACATGTCTTTTTAAGGTAACACCTGTAACATCTTTTCCATGTTTGTGTGGTTCTTATATTATACTTTTTAGAATGAACTGATGATGCTTTCAGAATACGAAAGCGAAACGTTTTCAAAATAGATAGAGTGGCACATCAACTTTGTCTTTCATTTCTCCACCTACAAATTGACCGATATAAGAGCCCACCACTCTGTTGAGTGATCCTTTTATATATTGGAATTTGACGGTCGTACTCCTTTTTCCGATATATATATATATATATATATATATATATATATATATATATATATATATATATATATATATATATTCAAGAAGAATTAAGAAATTGGAAAGAAAAGAAAATGCATAGAACTGCGAATAGATATTGGGAACCAGTGTCTAACAAATCTTTTCTTCGGATACGATCCAGCAATTACAGCAAATAACTAGTAAGGTAAGTATTATCTGATTTGAACTAAATCATAAAGTCGAATAAATCGTAATAAAGGATAAATAAAAAGATCTTTCACTTTCTATCAGATATAAAAAAAATACGAAAAAGGGGAAAAAGAAAATTGACGTAGTAAAAATTGCCTATCTAAGAAGAACCTATCATATTTTGAGAAGAAACATATATAGAAAACAAATCAAAAATAAAAGGAAAAATGGCAAATATGTATATTACACTCTATGTAGATGCAATAGAATCTAAACAATTTTTATTCTATGGGTATGTAATGAAAATGAATGATATGCGATTGTCAAAACGACCATTAAATTATGCTCCAAGGAAAAGAAGGAGAGGCAGATAAGTATTTGACTGTAGAACCAAAATCAAATAAATAATGGAAGATGGGGCCATCAATGAGGGGGAATGAAAATACGATCTAGGTGGATATCAAAATGCGTGATGCATGAAAGCTGTGGGTGTGACCTCTGCACATAAAAAACAAGGGAATTCTTCTCCTATAGAAACCATCCACCGCCCTCTCACTAATTTGGTGGTGGTAGAAGATCGGTTCTAAAGGCATTTAATCTAAAGAGACGTTGATCATGGTCTGTAGTTTTTTGGACAGCAGTAGTGTTGCTTTTTGGCTCAAGGCTTCCGAATTCGAAGCACCGTGTTTATAATTCTACGAATCACAATAAATCTACGTAGTTACAGATTTCTATGGCTCAGAGTTAATTGATTAAGACCAGAGCTAGTATTTTTATTACAAGCAAAGTATTTATGTAATGCTGCAGTATGAACTTTCAGCACAATACAGTATTTTCAAGTTTCGTATCCTGTTCTTTTCCTCTTCTTTTTTGTTGTATTTTAAATGGTGTTAGTTTTGGTTATTCAAACAATTCCTAATATAGTATTATTCTAGATTATTTTCTTACATGTACATATTATATTTTTTATTGTATAATGTTAAATTTTCGTGTTTTGTTCATGAAAAACTATAGATTTCTTTTCAGCGTCTGGTTAATGGGTGCTATTGGCTGTACAGGAAATCTTATAGTTTTATGGTGTCGACGATTTGCACCCACTACCAACGCTGTCCATTCGCTATATCTTAGAAATTTGGCATTATCGGACCTGCTTATGGGAGTATACCTCTTTATTATAGCAGCTGAAGATCAACATTATCGAGGAGTGTATCTAAGCTACCAATATATTTGGCGACATAGTTACATTTGTAAACTATGTGGTAAGTTACGTGTTTATTTTTTAATAATTTGATATTTTTTACCAAATTAATCTAATACTTAAAATCCATTTATTTCAAATAGGTGATAAGATCTAAACGATAATATAGAAAAAAGTGGCATTATTGTTTGTTAAAGATTGTTAGCGGCATGTTGGTATTATACATGATCTCCCGTAGATTTATTTTAAAATTTTAAAAATGTAATTTTGGTTTCAATGCTATTCGATAACAAAAACAAAATTAATAAATAAATATTTAGTTTAACAAAACATTAAAATTTAAAAATACCAACTGATTACAATTGTTCAAAACGTTTCCAAAATCACAAACCAGAGAATATATGTTAACCTTACATTTTAAATGCAAAAAATTCTAACGTAAAGCGACACAAGAGAGTATTGTTTATGTTGTGAAACACATAGCGGAACTGAAATGGAACTGGGCAGGCCATGTAGCGAGAATGCACGACTTACGATGGATGAACAAAATTACAAATTGGAGACCAAGATTAGACAAACGTAGTAAAGGAAGACCACCTACACGTTGAGCTGACGACATCAGGCGTACCACCAAAAATTGACAACAAAGAGCATAAAATCGTAAATAATGGAGGAGTTTAAAGAAGGCCTATGTATAGCAGTGGACGTGATAAATTAAGGCTGGACGATAATGATAATGATTATGACAGTACCCCTAAAACCAATGACAAACGTCATAATAGTGTAAGAAACACAAATAAATAATAACGATGGCAAAAACCATTCATTTAATTTTTTACATTATTACATGGTAAAGATATAGTTTTATTTTTGTTGTTTTTCACAAATTTAAAATCAAAATACATACATAATGCATCTAGGAGAAAGGATGAGATAGCTGGTTCGATTATTTAAAAGCAAATATTTAAGACTATGTTCTCACCTTCCTAAATTTGGTAGATAAAAAATAAATGTAACTCTCGAAGAACCAGCGACCAATAGGTCCCAAAATTGCGGATTATTATTAGTGTAGTAAATGGTAAAATTGAACATAGAATAATTAAAATAAAATAAGAATTCCGGTAGAAATATTTTTTTCTTCAAACGTCAAATAATGATGACATTACTTATCTAACTTGATCCTGTCAAAGTTTGATGTCTCCGCCGGCAGCAGTTTTTTCCCATTTCTTTACGGCGCGGCGGAGGGAAAAATGTTGTCATGGCAACAATATGAAACATGTCACAATGTAACAATACAAACGTCATTAACAACAATTAAACATCATTTTTATATATAGTAATATTAAAAGTACAATTGGTTAATGAGGCATTTTCAAAATTGAAACCGTGCAAATATGTTTCCGACTCTTGATACGCATTGGTAATTGTTGATGATACTGATGGTCGAGAACAACTTTCAGCAATCATTCCCGATGTTGGCGAATCATGAGGGTTTAAAATTTTTTGAGCATTATCGTTCTTATTTCTTATTGAATTCTCTCCGTGCTTGATTTCCAGCCTCCATGTCGTTTGAGGCATTCTAGATTTCCGCCTCCATCAATAAAAAGTGTTGCTGAAGTTCGTCGTAAAGAGTGACCCCTGTATGCGCTTGCATCGTTTAAATTTAAATAAGTAGCTTTCCATTTTGGTACTTGATAAAAAATCGGTTTTCTGTGAAATTTTCAGGCCTCAGTGATGCATACTTTTTATACAGTTTAATGTAGTTTTGACCAATTATCGTAAAAGATCTAATTTGTCGTGTTTTACTATCTAGGATTTTGATAATTATTACATTTTCTTTATCCTCAATGTCCACAGTGTTCATTTTTACCATTTCGTCCGTACAGGCGCCGGTAACCCCAATTAACAAAACAATCTGAAATATTTTTATAATTTAATAGAGTATACTACATGCTTTGCAATATAATTTTTTTTACCTTTAATCCTAAATACAACTTTCAAACAAAACATTATTCAAACAAAAACAAAACTTCAAACAAAAATTTATCAAACTCGTCTTTAGTGAAAAGTTTAGACTTCTTTGCAGTATATCCTTCGCCTGTTTTTTTTTTTCAGAAAGGCATGTAACTTTAAAAATTTGCTTATATCCACATTTTTTCTAATAACTAACTCGGATTTTATCATAGAGTATTGTGACCACATTGTAGAAGATTTCCATTTTTCATTTTCCATTATATTAAAATATGCCAGTAAAACGTCTTCGGTAACTTGCCGTACTCCTCTTGTATCGCACCACTCTTGGAAGTGCTTGTACGCTAACCGATACTTTATTCCGGACTTGGAGGGCCCCAAACGTGCTACTGCATCATTAGCCGCGGACTCAATTTCGTTTAGGTTTTCCATTTTCGCACTAAATTTGCGCTTGTGGTCATTGCTAACAACAATAAGCTGTCTTTAATAATTGCAAACAACTGTCAAACAACTGTAACCAGGGAGATGCGAATCCCACCGACGACTTAATTACTTTAATTTCTAACATCTAGACTACTTTGATAGTTGTCACAGTTTATTTTGAGTAAAAATAGCGTACGAAATGTACTATTTATGGTTGAAAATTGCTACGTTTGAAGAAAAAATAGTATACTTTATTCGGCAAAGAAGCGACTTTTCTTGACTTGCCCTCTATTACGCGCCTCACTTCGTTCGGCGCGTAAAATCAGGCGCGTCAAGAAAAGTCATGCTTCTCCGCCTCATAAAGTAATATACTATTATTTTACTATTTACACAAATAAATAACAGTATCGGAACGATACTGAACGATAATAAAATACATAAATGTTCAAATAAAATGTTTTTAAAATACACAAATCTTTATAATAACTGTTTTTAAAAGTAAATAAATGCGATTTATAGAGTAAAAAGTTTAGTTGTATATCCGGCAACTTTGTAATTTGTCGTACCTAATAGCAGGTACTTAATATTATTTTATATACTGACACTGAATTTAATCACAACTATTTAATAACAAAATTATACTTGAACTCTGCTTCTCTTTGAGAAGCGTGAGATGAACTGTTTTCTTGGTTCTATTTAAGAAGCTAAGGAAAGAGTTTGAATGGCGTTTATTTGAGAAGACAAAGACGAAGTTGCATAAGAATAGTTGGGTTTGAATAGTTTAAATTTGAAAAACTGACAGGCCCAGAAGATTTAATACAGCAGGAAGACGGCATCTCATGCTGATCCTATAGTCTTTAGTGACATGGAAAATTTAAATAATTTAATTATTGCTGTTTATTTATTAAACAAACCATTGTAGAAAAGACAATTATTTTCGACAATAAAGGTTATTTTAAATATTCATTTTATTTTTCATTAACTAAAAAAATTAATTATTACTATAGCCTATTCCTTTAAGAAAAACTAAAATAGAATTCTGAGACTTCAATAAGATGACATTAGCGATGAAATTACTAATCAAATATTATACAGGATGATGTTTTATTATTATTCAACACTTTTATTAATATTATATACTTTTGTAGGATTTTTAAGTACTCTCTCATGCGAGTCATCTGTCCTCATTCTAACTCTAGTAACTTGGGACAGATTTGTATCAGTAACACAGCCATTATTAAGGAAACAACCATCTAAGAAGATCGCAGCTGTCACTCTAATCGCGCTTTGGAGTTTTGCTACAATCGTGTCACTAATACCGCTAAGCGATTTTACAACCAGCTACTTTGGAGACGAATTCTACGGCAACAATGGAGTTTGTCTGTCACTACATATCCATGAACCCTACTCAATGGTAAGATATAGTTTTATATTTTCTATATTCGAGAGTTGAATTGATTTCAGTAATTGCAAATTTCTAGTACCGGTCAAAGGAGTCCGTTTTGGGACGGGAATTTTAATACATAACTTTTTTGTCGTTAACTTTTAAGCATACATTATGCTAGATTATTAAATTTTTCGGATATTCTATTACTAAAAGGTACTCTTACTTTAAGTCAGTAAAATATACCATTTTCTAGAACAATCAATTTGAAAGTATTCGTTTTTTCATCATGAAAGTTAAATTTAATACATACCTTAATTAATTTTATAAATTATTTATAAAATACAGTTGCACACAATTCGTAAAAAAAGTTTGTTAAAAGAAACAAAAAATCAAATTGAAAGAAAATTTTATTTAAAGGGTTTTAAAAACAAAGTATTTATTAGGATGGAACTAAACTAACACAAAAGATTAAGTATCCCAAATAGATAGTTACAAAAGATGTTCGAAGTAATGAACATTAGTCTCTATGCATAAGTTGCCCTTTTGCTTAGAAAACGTCGAATTCTTGCAAAAATTCCAAAGTTATTTCCAAATTCGTTGCAAGCATTTTGTATCCTTAGCCAGAGTTGCGCACTATTTTGTATCGGAACGGAGTAAAAAATGCTTTTATGTATCATCAAACACAATAATCGCAAGGATTAAAATCAATTAGATCAACAATCAGATTAACAATTGTTTTCAAACATATACCTAAATGTCTGACATGAAAAAATTATTTACGCCATAATATTAACGTACTTCAATCTCTTAAATTATTTTTCTTTTCAAACAGCTTACATGTAAAGTTGAGTTCTTAAGAATAAAATGGATTTTGATTAAACTAACCTCCTTCATGCACTGACAACTTAACCAGTTCTATCGGACTTCCCTAGTTTCTAAAATATGTTTTAAAATCACTTATATCTCAAAATATATCACATATAAACTAACCGTTTTGGAGTGTAAATTTCTTCGTCACGACGGATTTGCTTAAAAATTTTGATTTAGGTTCCTCTTATCCCTTCACTTTACTTTTGGACTTGAACCTAGGGTTGCTTTTCCCAAAAAATTTAATCGTTACCGCTTTATAATCTATGCTATGTTTATGTATTTTTTATATGATCTGTAAATTTGACCGTTTCAAAGTGCTTATTTTTGAAAAAAATTGGTTTTAAAGTAAAAGAAAAATTTTGGAAATTTAACTTAAAAAGTGATACAAAAAATCTTGAAGAGTGAAGTTTTACTTTTGTAAACAGTTTGGCTTTTTTTTATTTTCTGTAAGACAAAAAATTGGTAAGTTGTTGTTCAAAGTTTGCATACACTCGTGATTATTGACTCGTTCAAGCCCTTTCAACTACAACCCTTTTAAAAATAACGGTTTAAAAAGATTTATTGCTCTTAAAAAGCCTAGGTACTAAATATTTTTTAAGCGCTTTATAGTTTAAAAGCTTGTAACGTAAGCACACTTTCTAAGCCTTGCTGCTCGTGTCGTAGGGTTTGGATGCGGTTTTTTCAAAAATGATATAGAAGCTGTTTGTATTATCTTTAAAGCTAAAATGAATTGTGTTTCATTCCTTAATAATTTACACTCGTACGGAAACGAGCTCAGACAAAGAAATAAAATAAAAAATTTAAAACAAAACAGTTATTAAGATTATTAGAGAGTTATTAATAAAAACCTATCACATATTTTAGAAGATAGCAGAACGCGTATTATGAAGCATTATAAGATACACATAATGTGCTATTAAGGCACAGACATAGTATACGTTCAGTCATGCAAACAAACTAATAAGGATTTTTTTAAGTTATTAAATGTTAAAAATAAAATAAATTCATAAGATTTTTATTTAAAAAATTATTTTATTTATAGTTTTAATTAAAAAAAAATACTACAACTGTTCAAATTTCTTTGCAAAGGGTGGTTTTATAAGGGGAGAACTTTTATGGTAAAAAATTAAAATGTATACGGTAAAAAATTTAAACAGTACGGCAATCTAAATGTATTGTTAGCTTATAATTATTCTTTTGGTGTTTATTCGTTTCGAATATTGGCAATTATTCTGGCTATAATTGAGGAGCGTCCACACAAAACTACACATGTCCACAGTTTTGAAATATGTTACAAAAACTGTTTGCACAATGGAAAGTAATTTTTATTTGACGAAAATGTCAGTAAGTATATGTACGTGCACACTGATTTGAATACAGTTGTAATTACTTTTTTTTTTGTTTGATAAGGAATGAAAAATAGTTATTTTTAATTTGGACATGTGTGGTTTTGCTCGGACAGTATGGACATGTGCAGTTTTGACTGGACTGAGTGACGGATATGTGTTATTTTGAACAGTTTATTGGTAAAATACACGAAATTGATATTAGTATGCAGAAAATCAAAGAAAAATAAATCATTTTATATTATAAAAATAAATAATCAACTTCAATATTTATATGTGAAACTTTCCGCAGTCTACTTCCAAGCAATCGCATGTATCTTTTTCATCGACCTCTATTGTAGATGATTCTTCAAAATTCTGTATTGAATTCCTATAAACAATGCTTTTAAAATATGTCAGCTCTGGTAGATCTTCCCATTTAATTTTTTTCCATCGTTATTATACTATTTTTCCAACAATTGATGTACGTCCTTTTAATTTTCTTTCGCAATTTCGTTTCCAATTGACAGCTGTGTTAACTTGAATGTACTTTAACTTTTGCCTCTTTTTACTAAGCATTGATATGGATCTAGTTGGAGTTAAAATCTATAAAATTCGGAACCCCTGTACTTAACGGTTGTAGTATTGTTTTTTGTAGTAAACTTTTTGAGTTCAATGCGTTTAAAATTTTTTATTCCTGGAATTTTGTTGTACAGATCATCCGCTTTGTTTTTTTTTTTTAAACCAATCCAAACCAGCAGGCCAAAATATGCATTATATACGAATTTTTGTTTTGAACACCACAACCATCACAAAAAAGCCGTATTTGCTCACAATTTGTTAAATTCAAAGAACGTAAATGGTGTATTAAGGCTGATACAACTTCAGTGGAACCTCGTTTGGCTTTCGACTTGTCTCAGGTATAAAATGATGGATGTTGACTGTTCATTTCAACACAACAAAATGCGTAGAAGTTAATCTGCCGTAAGTAAAACGCATCTTGGATTGGAGTTTTCGGAAGTGGATAAACCTACTTTAAATCTAACGAAAAGTAAACGAAATGCTTTTTGGATGAGACTCTTTCGCTAATTCGTAAAATGCATTAGCACGTAACTTATAAATTCGTAAATCGGTCAACGTTTTTGGTCTTTCTCCACCTGTTTCTTTACGTAAAGTGTGCTTTAAATTAAGACAAGTACCACATACATCGCAAGCTGGGGACTTAAAATCAATATTAAAGTTTTGGTACGTGTTTTAACATAGTAAGGCTCACTTTATAGTTGTTGTGCGCATTATTGTGTAACGATGAGTCCAAGCCATCACCGTTAAACCAGCGTGCGCGCGAACCAACCCATGAGGTAGGAGTATATCGTCAGTAGAAAGGGCAAAACTAATTACCAAGCTCCGTTATATAAACCGCAACATTTCCTTATAGAGGAGAATCGACAGGTGTTGACTGAAGGTTCTCTTCTTCCCTACCCCGGCTTGTGGACGTGTTGAGTTCACAAGTTGTTCCGTCCCATACCGCCGTTACCCGAAGAGCGTGTTGAGCTCTTCACTACCCGTACTCTGAAGCAGTCGTGTTGAGACTGTTGAGGAGTGTCCTATTAACCCGAATCACTTAAGGGACGTGTTAAGTTCCTTTCCTTTCTTTGTACCTATCGTCCGCTGTTATTAAATTGATACAACGTTCCCGTAAAATTTCAAATACACACTCGCTTGCCGATAAGACTAATTTCATATGACAAGGTCAAACTTAATTTAAATAAATAGGCCAGGTACTGAGAAGACTAAACCAAATTGTAAATATGTACATAAGATTTTTGTCAATTTAATTTAAGGAAGACAATAAAGTTTTATTTTTATTTTGAACTCTGTCTCTGACTGTCCAAAAGCTACCCGGATAGTGACTCCTACGAGAGGACATCACAATTGTACATTTGAAAAATTTTGTTGATATTTAAGTCACACGCCAGATAAATTCTTACGATTATCATGACTTTCAGTTGCTGGATTTGAAGCTTTAAATTATTTAACTTAGGTTTCTTTTGTCAACGTTTTTTCGTGAAATATCTATCCTCACCACGTCTTTCTTTAGGTGTCTGTCCTCTTTCGAGGAATCTGGTAGAGATAGTGCAAGCACTCCTAATCACGGCGCAGTAGACAAAATTTGGTTTAGTCCCCACTTCCATGCGAAACGCATTCTACTATGCACTGTATAATTCCACTTACAGTAGAACCTTTCTGCCTTTACCTGAATTGTGACTCCGCCTTCACGCAGCTCCATGGTCTAGCAGAAATATTTAAAGCAGCCATAATAAACTTTTTACACACCGGCACTGTCTTACCTTTTGTACGGAAATAATAGAAGGCATGAAATGATTTAGGTTTAACATTATTTTCCTCTGTATTATCCCTTCCACGTCTCCTCTGGGGTGAAAACACTGAGATAAAATAGCTCAATTTCTGGTCTTGATTTATTGGAATATCCATAAAGTTTTTCCCTCTGTATCTTAATTTCTTCTAGCGAAACTTAATTGCAATTTAAGTTTTTCCAGTTATGATTACAAGGACGTTCAAATTTCTTCATTCCAGTGTCATTGTTAGTATACTTTTAATGAACACGCATATTAAAATTTAGTAATCGAATTGCTAAAAATAGTTCTTACCTTTTAGTTCTTTCCTTCTCTTCTTTTAAAATATCTCGATTCGAACGTTTTCTAGAACCAACGTTAATTTGTTACGTTAATTAAAATAATTTTCAACTACAAAGAGTAAGGTAAAACTATTATGTAGCTCTTAAAAATTCGCAGAACAAAAACAACGTATTTG